CCTGCTTGTGGGGAAGGGGGGGGGACGGGACCCGGCTGAGGCAAAGGGGCTGCCGAAGCGTCAGCCTCATCCCCAAAAAACCCCCAGACACCCCTTCAGGGCGAAAATCGGTCCACTGCACGCTCGCGTGTTTCGCCCTCGATGAAACCGGGGTGGGAGAGCGGGGAGCCCGCTGGTGGGAGGGCAGCGGCTGGCGCGGCCCCGGTTAGGCTGGGTGGGACCACGCTGTCCACGAATCCCTGGGTTTCAGACAAGCGTTGGCACTGTTGGTGGTATCCTGAGAAACACACCTGGCAGCCTTGGTCAAACGCTCTCCTCTAGTGCTCCGTTTCATCCTCCGTTCGAGGATGAAAGCTATTTCCTTGTGATCTGAGTGTTGCAGCCTAGGTTTCTTACAGTGAATTTTCTGGAAGAAGCCCAGAGGGTTTGCGCTTGTTCACCAAGAGAAAGTCAGGCGAAGAGATGCTCTCTGAGAGATATTCTAGCGGTGTTCAGGGCCATTCAAGTTATGGGCTGTAACCATCCTGGCTACCAGTTCAGTTGCCGTTCAGAGTAACTAGACTACTGGCCGGATACAACGTAGCCATGAGATGCTATAACCTCATCATTTCGTTCACTTCGCCAGACAGGATGGTGCAAGTTTAGTCATATGGAGTTTGCTGATGGTCTTTAGAGCAGGGCAAGCTGTTGCTACAAACCTTGGCACAGGGGTGAAAAGAAGTTCTCTTCTAGATTTGTATCTCAGAAGAAAAAAACAGTCATGGCAAAGTAAAAGAAGATAATTTTAGTAACTGCCCTGACGTGGGCGTCTACGAGGAGTCCAGTAGGACCCTAATGCTTGAAACCATTTTGGCAGTCTCAGCAGTCTGTTTCATGTAGTGAGGTTTCTTCGGAATGAAAAGTGTTCAGGCTTCTCGTTCTGAGCCCGCTTCGTTGAGAAGTAAGGCCACTAAACATTTGCAGATAGTCCAGTTTGAGTGTTGAAGTATAACTTTTGTTCCCTTGCTCCCGGCATCGGTTGTGTCTGATGAGAACTGAGGTGATCTTCGTGCCCTTGCTTTATTCTGACTTTGGAGCAGTGTGATATCTTTGTAAGAAAGCTCCCTCTTGGGTAGTGGTATTGTAAGCTTCTCTTGTAAGTATCATCGGGGAGTTTCTACCGAATAGAGTAGTGGTCAGTAGATGAACGCTGTGGTTATGGAAGGGAGGAGAAAGGGGAGAGAAGATCAAAGGATTACAGGGACATATTTCCTAGGGAGGAGCAGAACCTCTTCAGTGTGTATATCTGCTTCTTGTAGATATAGCAGGTAAATTAAAAACAGTTTCAGTCTATAGGGTAGAAGCTGTAAATAAAAAGCACAGGGCAAGGTAGTTACCTGTAGCTCTGGAGAGACATAACAGCATGGCTTTATGCCACTGCCTTCTCAAATGGCAACCTGAGATGGGATGAACAAGTGTCTTGCTGCAGTTAGCCAGATGCTGCTAACGGCGGTAAAGTCTCTGCTGGTCATCACAGGAAGACTGGGGAGAAGCTGTTATGGTGAGTTTCCTGACACTGAGAAAGATCTTCCCAAATCTCCATTAGTTCATTCCATGGATTTAATGGCTGCTGGTGTAAAACACAATTATTCGCCTCCCATGTCCAGGGGACCTACATCTGCTCACGTCTCTGTGTTACTCCTGGAAGCGCAGGAAGCTTGGTGGTAAGATTGGCCCTTGTTTATCCAGCCACTTACTTGCACAGGAGCCCTCTGAGCTGTCGGCAGTGCCTTCCCTGTTGCGTGTTCCATCTGTGGAACTGGGTCTGATCTGACTTTGAACCAGCTTCAAGTGGGATACGAGATGCGTTTGTTTGGATTAGGGTGGGTTTTTTTGTATTGGTGACAAATGGGAAGAGGGTTGTGTTACTGATGCTTGCAGGAATGTTAATACTGTGATGCTGGCTGTTGTGTGTGGCATATTGCTGCTATGGTGATCTGTTTTCTTAAATCGTTACTTTTCAATGCCCTTTCTGTATTTCCCTGGTGTCATATCAGCAAGGCGGTAGGGAGAGAGTGTATATTTGGGTTCAGGAGTGTTTGTGCTTTGCTTTTTCTCAACCACCATCTTTTCCCATTTATCAAGGGGCATAATGCTCCTGAGTTGTGCAGTTAAAAACTACAGCGGCCTCAATATTTGTGTCCTTTTGATAGAGCTTATTTTTAGGAAAAGTAAAGGAATAGTTGACTTCTGGTTTTTGTTTCTGACACAGGCTTTGATGGTAATCTGTTTTGGTGTATGCATCTGTGTGTGTGTGTGTATTTTAACCCCCCCCAAAAAACAGGCTAATGCCCACTGCAATGGC